CTAAACTTTTGATTCAAAATTGGACATTTCATATTTAATGACCTAATAATATTCCACGCAGAAAGAACGTCCCAGTACCCTGGTCTGCTCCATGTCCTGCAAATTCTGATGCTTCAGGTGTTTGCAGAATTTCAAAGTCTTATTTCTCAACTCAAGAGATGGGTGAGATCTATAACCACACCTATTTGTAGCATTTGTGTCTTTGGTTTCTTCACCTTGTAATAAAGACCTTTCCTCTGTCTAACCCTTGCAACGCGAAGTGTGTCCACACACTAGCAGCACTGTCTGGCCTCCCTGGGAGCTTGTTCAAATGCCATGGCTCAAACTCCTCCCCTACCTACAGAATCAGAATTTGCATTTTAACAGGATCTCAGGAGATCATATGCACCCCAAAGCTTGAGAAAGCCTCCTAACAACCAGATGAGGCACAGAGAAGCAAGGCTGGAAAGAAATTAATACAGAACTCTCCAGCCTGCAGCCTTTAAATAAACTGCCCCAACCCACCCATCCTGAATTGCTCCAGCCCTTGCAAGTGTAGTCTCCGTAGGCTGTAAACTTGAAAGTCTCACACGTCTAGCCCGGCTTTGGGGGTGCGGGCTTGTTGGATGGGACAAGAACAGATTCAATACTCTCATGTTGAAATTTCTCTGCCAGTTAGCCCTTAGTCCCCAAACGCCTCTACACCGACCTCGAGGGAGCAAACCTCTCATTCTGACAAGCATCAGTGTTTCAACTTGACATAGTTCATAGTTCACGCTTCCATGGGATTCTGGCTCCCTGGGGGCTATTTTTTTACAATCTGTGTAGTGCAGGTAACTGACAGAGACGCACATTATGTCCTGACTGCGGGAGGTTCAGTCTACTTCCCTGCCTGGCTACGGGAACCCTGCTCGCCTCAATTTGCATGCTAATTTCGATACACCTGATCTATAACTTTGTTCTTGGGATTCTCTTTTGAACAGGCTATAGTACCTATCTGCTCCCCCACGAGTTATAGAAAATTTTTATCCTGGGTCCATTTTTACTTCTATATGAGAGTTGTGGTTTTATCTGTTTCTGAAAATTATCTTTTAATGATGACAGCCTTTCTTCTCCGAAGTTACAGCAGGGCTGCTGGACCTCGGCACTGTTGCCGTTCAGAGCCGGAACACTTTGCGGCGGGCCCGTCAGGTGCCTTGTAGGGTGCTTAGCAGCCTCCCTGCTCCTACCCACCAGCGGCTCTTGGCACTCCCCTCCCCCAGACGTCTCTTGGACATTGTTAAATGTCCTGCAAGGGGGAGGGCAAAATCACCCGCCCACTCCCCAGATGAGAAACACAAGTTGACAGTTAATAAACAAGAGAACACATGTCTCAGCGCTATTGAACCGGCACAGAAAGCAGTTACAGAAGTAGCACATTATTCTTTTGATATTTTCCTAAAAGTAGAGGGATGAGCGAATCTGCTGGGAATACCATGTTTCAGACGTTATGAAAGGTCATGAGCACATTGGGAAAATCACACATCACTGAAATTCAAAACAGAAGCCCAGACATGTCTTTTTCTGGCAGAAGCCTTTGGCTTAAGGGCGACTTGGGAGGTTTCAGCACCCTGAGGTCCTGAGGTCCAGGCTGTGGAGGCCATCGGCTGCCAAGAGAAGGTGAGTGTTTGTTTTGGGGCTTACTTGGAATTCAAGAGACTGAATGCCTGAGGCTGGCGCTGTGGGTGATTTACCTGAGCCGCTGTGTCCAGGCATTCCCACCCCGGACGGCCTCTGGACAGCAGGCTGGTTTAGCACGCACGCATTCATTCACTCGTTTGCTCACTCATTCGTTCGCTGACCCTCCACCATGGGCCAGGAGTTGGGTGTCCTGGGAGAGGGGACAAAGGGTAGAGAGGCCGGAGATACGTCCCCTTCAGGGAGGATTCGGTCTGCGTCAGTAGAAAGGAGAGGTCATCATAGCCATTGTACACGTCCTTTCATACGATGCTCATAATGCTTCTGTGAGGCAGGAAAGACATTTTTCTGCTTTCTAAACAAGGACACTTGGGAAAGCTAAGTCATTTGCCCAGAGTCTCACAGCTTATGACAGAGAAGGGACAGAACCCAGCTGTCCCTATATTGACGTGCCACCTCCCTGGCACCCTCTGCTAAATGCTGTAACAGACACACAGTCACACACACCACCAGGCACAGAGCAGGCAGGCAAGAGAGGACAGCTTCGTGAAGGAGGGGACATTTGAGCAGGGCCTTGAAGCATGAGTAGTTGCGTGCTTGTGGTCGTTCATCAAACATTTACAGGGCATCTCCATGGGCTCAAGACCCCTGTTCTGTGCATTTAAAACTAGGCTTCAGCTCTTACAGGTTTTTGCCATTTAAAAAAATCGATTTCCTGTCCTTCATTTTATGTTTCAGTTGCGTAACTCAAAGTTTCTGGTGGCAGGTGGGGTCTGTGGTGATGATGCTGCAATAGACGACGTGCAAGTCTCTGTCTGAGTCCCTGCTTTCATGCTTTTGGGTATACGCCCCAAATGGCATTGGTGGACCACATGCTTAGTAACCGCCAAACTGCTTTCCGCAGCTGCTGCACAAATTTATATCCCCACCAGTAGTGAACTTGGGTTCCAATTTCTCTATATCCCAGCCCACATTTATTTTCCATTTTTTTGATAATAGCCGCCTAATGGATGTGAACTGGTTCTAATTGTGGTTTCCATTTGCATTTCCCTAATGACTAGTGCTGTTGAACATTTCATGTGCTTATCAACCATCTGCATAACTTTGGTGAAAAGTCTGTTCAAGTCTTTTGCCTATTTTTTAATTGGGTTGTTTATTTGTTGATGTTGTTGGATCGTAGAAGTACTTTACATAGTCTGAATATTAATCCCTTATCAGATAGATGATTTGCAAATGTTTTCCCTTATTCTATGGGTTGTTTCACTCTTTTGATAGTGTCCTTTGATGCACAGAGGTTTTTAATTTCAATGTAGTCCAATTTATTTATTTATTTTCTGTTGCCTGTGCTTTTGATGTCATATCCATGATGTCGTTGCCAAGTTCAATGTCATGAAGCTTTTCCTGAATATTTTTTTAAGGAGTTTTATAGTTTTAGCTCTTACATGTAGATCTTTAATCTACTTTTAGTTAATTTTTGTTTATGGTGTAAGGTAAGAGTCCAACTTCACTCTTTTGCCTGTGGATATTGTAAGGGGGGAAAAACCTTTTCCTCTACCCATCTGTGTTCTCCAGCTGGAGTCCTGCAAATTAGACTGGCCAATGACTGATTAACAAGAGAAAACCCAACAGAAGTTTATTAACATGTGTTTTGTGCATGTACACATGGGAGCACCCAGAGATGACTGACCCAAAGGCGTGGTTATGACATGGGTTTAGATATCTTCTCAGGCTAAAACAAAAAAAGGATTTGGGGATTCTTGGTGGGGGAGGCAAGTTGTGGAAAGGTGACTTGTAAAACAATGGTTGCTCAGTAAGCTTTATTATGCAGATTTAAGTTGGTGTCTTCTCCATTAATAGGAGTCCTCCTATTCCTGGTATGAGAGAGGATGTCATATCCACAAATGGAAATTTCCTTTATAAAAGGAAAACTTGTACCCTGTTTTTAGAGATTTTCCTTTGTTTACTTGTTTTCAATGGACTTAACTCAAAAGAAGCACATTGAAAGGCATATTTTACACCGGTGCATTCTAGTACCCTTCAGCATCCAGCCTTTCTAGCACCATTTGTTGAAAGACTGTGCTCCCATTTAATGACCTTGACACCCTTGTCAAAAAATCAATCGACCATGTATGCGTGGATTTACGTCTGGGCTCTCTTCTCTTCCACTGGTTTATGTGTCTGTCCTTATCCAATACCATACCGTTTTTTTTTTTTTTTTTTTTTTTTTAAGACAAGGTCTTGCTCTGTCACCCTGAGTAGAGTGCAGTGGCGTTATCCTGGGTCACTGCAACCTCAAACTCCTGGGCTCAAGCAATCCTCCTGCCTCACCCTTCCGAGTAATTGGGACTACAGGCTCATGCCACCATGCCTGGCTAATTTTTTCTATTTTTAGTAGAGACAGGGTCTTGCTCTTGCTCATGCTGGTTTTGAACTCTTGGCCTCAAGTGATCCTCCCACCTTAGCCTTCCAAAGTGCTAGGATTACAGGCATGAGCTGCTGCACCTGGCCCTCCAATATTGCTTGGATTACTATAGCTTTGTAGTAAATTTTGAAATTAGGAAGTGTGAGTCCTCCAACTTTGTTCTGTTTTTTCAAGATGACTTTGGCTATTCTGAGTCTCTTGTATTTCCTCAGGAATCTTAGAATGGGTACCACTACTGGTTTTAATGGCGTAATTCCTAGAGTACTTTCTGGTATTCAAAAGTTTAGCTTCCATTTGATGCTTTGAATTCTCTCTACTAAGTCATTGTCAGGACTCAGAAAATGCTACCCCCAAGTACTTCGAACTGAAGAAGACGGGGAAGGCCTCAGAAGCAGAAGGTCCCTCTGACCGGTCCTGCCTTTCTGCACGAGAGATGGCCATAGAGGAATAAAATGTCACCCTGCAAGATATTTATTTCTCCTAGAAGCGACAGCAAGACAGATGTTCACAAGGAGCACCAACGTCCCTGACGCTGGGACCCGAGGAAAGGCCTCAAGGCAGCCTTCCGGCTGGGGCAGTGTCTGGCCAGCCTGGTCGGGGCTACCGTCCCTCCAAGTGGGCCACCAGACGCTCGCGTGCAGTGGGCTGCCCGCACCTGGAGGGAAGGCGAGCTGCACAGAGGCGAGGAGCGGCTGAGCCCGCAGGCCTGGCCGAGTCCCCCGGTTTATTCCTGTTTGGTCGCACCCTCCTTTGATCCGACCCCATTTCTACGCCACCCTCCATTCCTCACTGAACCTCAGCACGAATACACACAGCTTTCCCCTGGTCTTTGGGTCTTCATTTCTGAAGGCTCCGGTGTCACATAAAACATTGTTAAATAAATCTGTTATGCTTTTCTCTTGTCAATCTGTCTTTGTTATAGGTCTTTGGCTGTGACCCTTGCCAGGAGTGAGAACAGATGTTACCAGTTCTCCCATACGTGGTCTGTTTCACTGCTTTCGCTTCCTGCGCCTTTTGATGAACAGAGAAATTTCACACCCCCAAAGGGGAAGCCGAACCCTTCCGACGGGGAATCGCTGTCGCCTGCCTACCTCCAGAGCCTGGAAGGTTTGGGGTCTATTTTTATTATTCCTATTTTGAAAATATTTTTCTGTTTTTTAAATAGAAAACTATATTATAATAATGAATAGGCTTTTAAAATGACTCCCTTTTGGTTCCGACTCAGTGACACTGTGGTCCTGTCCAGAGACTGCCCCAGCCAGACAGCCTCCCCGAGGCCTTTGCTCGGGTCCCAGCGTCAGGGACGTCTGTGCTCCTTATGAATCTCTATCCTGCTTTCACTTCTAGGAGAAATAAATATCTTGCAGGGTGGCATTTTCTTCCTGTAACAAGCGTGCAGAACTACATGGCACGCATTTCTTTATTTTCACTGTAGTTTTATTCTTTTCTGGCCTATTGTTTTTCTGACATCAATCACCTCAAATATTTATCTTTAAATAATATATATATAATAAACTGCCTCAAACCTTTACGGAACATAGTGTTGGGACTCAGAAAACGATACCCTCAAATATGGTGCTTTGACATGCCGAGCGCTTCAAGCTAGAGGAAATTGAAAGCCTTCAGAAATGAGCCTCAAAACTAAGGTCTCCTTCTGACCTTCCCCTGCTCCCCTGTCCCTCTGATCCTCTTTCCTTCCCAATGCACCGGGAGGGGCTTTCTCTGAAGTTCCCTTACCTGATCGAGGGAGCTTCCTCCAGAAGAATGCAATTACTCCTTCCCTAGAAATCTCATCAGATATCCAGGAAAGGTTAGCCATCAGAGAAGAGAAAGGACCAAAAGTTGTCACCACACCTAGACAGGCTTTTCATCTGTTCTTCTGAGAGCAGCTTTGCAAGATCACCTGGGAGGCTTCATCTGAGTAGCAGAACAACCTTTGTTCACTGTGAAGTTCTGCCCCTCACCACCTCCACTCCATGAGCTCAGGGCCGCTTCTCCCAGGCCAATTGTCTATTCTTTGGGCTCATTCATTTCCCCTAAAAATCATTTACTGCTCTTCTAAATTGCTTGCACATCCTCAAACTCTCCCCCATGGGTGCTGTTTAAGCTCCAGCCGTCCAGCCCTACTTGAGTCTGGGATTTTGTATGGCTCTGTGTTTACCCACGTTGATAAACTTGCATGCTTTTTCTCCTGCTAATCTGTCTACTGTCAGTTCATTTCCGCGTAGAGCCTTCAGAGAGTAGGGGGGAGGATCACCCTCCACCTTACGATGGTTAATAGACATAGATCTTTGAAAATAGTTTGAGCCGTTGTCATCCTCACTGAAACTTGGTCTCACCTCTGCCTCTAGAGCCACAGCAAATCCGTTCAGTTATGTGTGGGTTTGAAAGCGGGCTACACGTCAGTGCTAAGCTTGTCAGGGAGAATCTTGGTGGGTAAAACTTTTAACGTATGAAAAGGGAAAACTGACCTTCCAAAAATAACCTCATATTGATCAACTTCTATCTATTAAGTATTTCTCATCTTTAGTGGCTTTTTTCTCCCTCATACATATAAACACTAAATTAGTTAGTGCTACTGGGTCTGCCTTTTATTTCCCAGAATAGTGTTTGTTTGCATAAAATGTAGAGGCATCTGAGCTCTTACAACAAAATGTAAAAACAAAGTATTCCTAAGCCTGTCAGTGTTTTAAAAAAGAATGAAACAACCAAACACAACTGTGGTCTTTGGCTAACTTTCTAGAGCAAAGAAAACAAGCCATCTGCCGGTGACAGGCTGCTAACAGGGCCGAACACAGCAGTCACAGTAATTAGTGGTCACACCAAAATAGAAACTTAAGCAGTGCCTTTCCCGTCGTTATGGTGACACCGCGCAGCAGCCCACCTCCCCTGCAAAGGGCCCTCTCGGCTCTTTCTGTGGGCTCCGTCTGGTGTGCCCGCCCGGTGGTGCAGGGAACTAAACTGACTGCTCATTTGTTGCCTTGGGGTTGCATGTATGTAGGGGTGCGAGGTGGAGAAGGGCGTCGGTTGGAAAATTCCATGGGGGCTGTGCTCGGCCAGAGGGACAGGAGGGCAGCTGACACATCGGCTCAGGCCACCAGACAGGTGCTGTCAAGGGCTGAAAATGTGCTGATGTTGGGAGGTGGCCCTGGGTGATGACAAATGAGAGCTGGCCTGAGATAAGTAGGCTCTGAGCCTGAAAGAAGGAAAGGTGTGTCCCAGGCCCTCGGTTTACCCGTGTGTCCTCCACATTCACCCTCTTGTTGCTGAGTAATTCCTGTGGGTTCTTTAGAAGTTATTGAGTGTCGAAATCCTTGCTGCTCTGCTAAAAATCTAAGAATTTGGCCGGAAGGTCTGGTTTGTTTCTGTTCAAAGACTGAAGATGTAGAAATTGAGCTGCTTATTTTCCTTAGGTTCTTGTTCATTTGGGGGCTAGAAATTAAAAACACTGATTTGAGCACCAACATCATGCGCTGTTGTCACCGACACCATCTCTCCAGGGGACCTGAAGGCTGCACATTGAGGAAACTGCTTAGGGTGTAGCTTCTCCATCAGGGCACCAGGAATGATGGAGATGGCACCGGGAAGTATGGACATGCTTTGGAAGAAACCTGAGCTGTGTTCGGGAAAAGGATTCGGTTTGCCTGTGGCATAAGGTCTATAGTTTTTGGATGCTTTATTCTCTTATCCCTTAATACATCTTCCCTATCTTTTGCTGCTCATGGACTGTCCTGGATTTTGTGGAACGGATAAAGCTGTTATCATTCGCTGCTTAGTGAGATCTGAGGTTCCTGGAGAGAGGCTGCTAACAGGGACCCACACTTTGAAGCCACACCAGTGCCTGTTTATATGAATCACAGCCTCAGGGGCTGCCAGTTCCACAGCTGACGTCTTCCTTTCTGAGCTTTTGTGACGTCAGTAGCCAACTCTGCGCTTCCTGGCCTTGATATAGCCACGCTCATTTTAATACTTCCATATCTGAGAGCCCGATTCTGCCGTTCGTCACACACACTTACTGCTAAGGACACCGTTCTCGTGTGATATTTTTAAACAGGGCCTAGTTGGGAGTCAGTCGTCTCTCTCTTAGGCTGGATACAGTCCTGTGAAATAGAATCATTGGGGCACAATTCACTGAGTCACAGACTGCTAGAGGTGGGAGCTCGCAGGGGTCGTTGTGTCACTCTTGGTAGAGAAGCACAGTCCTGGTGGCTCAGAGTCCTGGCAGTCTAATTTTATTAGAGATGTTTGCAGATGGACCGGGCATGTATGGGGCTGGGGGCTAAAAAGAGAGTAGATGTGGCAACTTCTGGTCTAGTGGGAAAGTAAGACAACTGTCTCGGCTGAGGCATGCTGAGGCTGCTGAGAAGCCCCTCAGGCACCGTGTGGCCCCTCCCCGGTGAGCCCCTGCATGGCGCAGGAGGGGGACGGTGGTAAGCCCCACAGGTTAAAGGAAAAACCAAGCATGTTAACATACAGGTTTCGTGCGTACACGGGAGACACCCAGAGCATGAGTAGCTCTCAGAGAGTTGGCTTTGAACTCCAGGTTTTCTACATTTTTAACAAAGATCAGTGAACTTCTAGAGAAATGACAAGTCAAAAGAGAAGGACTTTGAGGCTCTCCGGCTGGCAGATAAGGCTCGCTGGCAAAGCTCGTTAACGTAGATCCCTCTGTGCCATCTCCAGGGCCAGAGGGTCCAGCTGTCCTCAGGAGCTAACCGTGCCCTCCCTGGTGGAAGTGGGGTGGGGGGCAGGGTCCTTTTGTCTTTGTAAATCGACGACCTGCTTTAGGCAAGTGGAAGGCAGAGAGCTGCCCTGCTCCTGTCCTGCTGCTTCTCACTTGCCTTCGCTCCACGGCCCTCCCACCTTGGGCGGCCGCTCTGGTCCCTTGGTGCACAGTCAGACGGCCAGGCCCAAGTCCCCTGCTCTCTTGCCAGCTCTGTGTTCCTGGGAAAAGCACTTGAACCCTGCGACTTTCATTTCTCAATCATAAATTGGATTAATAATACTGTATCCTCCTTGGAGGGCTGTTCTGGGGTTCGATGGGATAACACCTAGGAAGCTGGGCGGACTGCCCGGCACAGAGCGAGGGCGCAGTGCCGTTAGTTACTCTCATTAATCAAGCAAATGCCCATCGCTCCTTCCGACGCTTTACTCATCATTTCTTAGACCCGGAGCTTCCCCTTCAGGCTCTTGGTAGATGGATGTCATGCCTCTCCCTGCCAGGCAGCTGTTCAGGTTCCAGTGGCAGATGGCCAGCGTCCTCATGTCATCAGCCTTTGTGAACAGCCTCGGCTCAGGCCAGCGTGACCCACCGCGTTACCGGTTTCTATTGGCAGCTCGTGCACCGGGCCGGGCCCAGGCGAGGGCGAAGGCTCCTGACGGTCCTGAGAATTTTGGTCTCCAGGCGGCAGGGCCCTGAGCCTGTCGTGTCTTTATCTCTCAGGGTAATGCATTCAACAAACATATTTGAGCATCTACCAGGACATGGCCAGCACTGTGCTTCATACCAAAGACAGGAAACTGAGGGAGATAGAGTCCCTGCCCTTGAGTTGCTCGTCGTCTAGGGAGCCGATGTCTAGACGGCAGGACAGGGAAGACAGTGCTGGGAGGGGAGCGATGTGGTCAGAGAAGCAATGGGGACGCCTGCAAGGCTGACTCCGCCTCCAGCTCTGGGCCTGGCAGAGCGCATGCCACTGAGCCCTCTCCACGTGGCCCTGATGGAGTTCCAGCACCTCACTGTGCGGATGGAAGCTGCCATGCGGAGGGGTAACTGTCTGAGGGCAGCGGGAGTTGAGATTTGCACACTACACTCAGATGTGCAGAACCAACACACTTTTTATCTGAGACTGAGCTCATCAGATACTGGATGAGATTCTTGCTGATAGAAGGACAAACTTAAAGGTGTCCCTTGACTATCTCTGCTACTTTCAACCCTTTTGAGTTTAAAATAGTCAATTTGAAGTGCAACTCTCCACCTAGCCTCTTTTCTTCACCCTTGCCCTCCTTCCTAAGATGCCTCTGAGTTCAAGGAAGAGCTCACGTTTCCTCCTGGCTCGCTCCTTACTGTTGGCTCCAGCTGACCCCAGTATTGGGGTGATGGGCAATGT